GGACAAGGTAACTGCAGAAATAAAGACTCTGATTGCTTACTCTTTCTAAAGCAGGGAATTGCAAGGGCATAGTCTCCAAATTCTGATTTGTTTTGATGCAGACAAGCCCTGTAGGAATTTCTCTAGTTAGATAAACAGCTTATGAGTTTCTTGCTCAGGATAATATGTTTGGAGGGAAGCACAAGCATTTTTCCAGCATCCTAAGCTTGATAATGCAATGTACAGGCTAAGGTATGATAATTGTAGGCACTCATATGGCAGCTATTTGAGCACCTACAAAGACAGAGTGCAATGAGAAAGCAGAGAGCACTCGAGGCATGGCTCGTTTGCCCTGTACCATCAGTGTGACTGTTCTGTTCCCTGCCAGCTTTGCAGCTGTGCATACCTCAGCCTTGGCTATATAGTTTAAATGTCTTCTACCAGGGCATATAATCTCAGAGCATGTGACAACTGGCAGAGAATAGAATTCTTCTGTGGCTGATGTTAAGCCATAACTGTTGCATATCTTTATGCAGATTGGTGCCACATGTGATGTTCATGTCTCCCTTGCAGAAAAACAACTTCTGTAAGAAAAATGCCCCTTCCCTGGAAATGTTCAAGGCCAGGTTGGATGAGGCCCTGAGCAATTTGGTCTGGTGGCATCCTTGCCCATGGGCAGGGGATTGGAATTAGATAATCTTAATCCCTTCCAACCCAGAGCATTCTGTAAAAAAAAAGGTCTGTGCCTCAATATATGAAATGCTAGGCTGAGGCTGGCTTTTGTCTTGCAGATTTGCAGTTCTGAGTGCAGTTTGTAGACAAGGGAGCAGGTTCCTGTGTCTGAACAATGCCTAAATGAGTATCTAGCTCCAGATGATGGGTGTCTAAACATTAATAGCAGTTCCAGATGGAGCTTTTCAGGACAGGTGCCAGGATAAGGGGTATAGTGAAAAGTAGAAGAAAGAATGAGGAGATATTAGAGAAAAAGTAATGCTGAAACTGCAAAAAGTAATACTGGATGCTTGTGGAAGGGACTGCACCTTCAGCTTCTGGTCAGAATGCACTTGCTCAGAGCAGGTATTAATACCAAGCATTCTAGTGAGCAGAGCTAATTTAAAAATTATAAGCCCCCATGATTGCTATAGCCTGTGGTTTTGCATCATCCTTTAACGAAATGCAGGCTGGGATTGGTCTTGAGTCAACAAGTTTGACTGAAAGGGGTGTGAAATAAACTGCTGTTGAGCTGGGAGGTTATGGTGAAGGCTGTCTATACCCCACAAGCAGCACTATTGCACTCCCATCCATCTTTGAATCATCCTTGACTGGATGCTTGAAGGAGAAGCATGTGCAAGTGAAGGTCTTGGCTGGGGCACTGTAACTTCTTAGTGGCCTTCACCCAGCCAGGCAGCAGCTGCTTTGTCAGAAGTGGCTGCTGTCCAGAGCCCTGTTGTGAATTCATTTCTTGTTGCAGTGTCAGCCCATCTCTGATTGCAGGTCTGCCCTCCTGCTTCCAGTGGTGAGAATATGGCTCTTGCTCCTTTTGTTTTTGTCATTCTTGGAAGGTTGCTGGATACGTAGGGAAGGTTAGAATGGGGCAAACAGTCTTGTTTGAGAGATGTAAAAACTAAGGCACATTTACAGTATTCACCCCAAGCCCCAGCCTCTGAGGCAGTATCTGAGACTCGAGCTCACTTGGTGTGTGCACTTTGTCCCAGATCTGTGCTCAGTGCATCTCTTTTGAGGCAGCAGAAGCACTCTCTGGGCTTGTGGGCTTGTAGAAAACCAAACCAGTACAAGTTGTTTTGTTTGCTTTTATTAGCAACTTGCTCTGGAACAGGAAAGGTGGTTAATGGGTTTTTAAAGTGACAGTGGGAAAGGTGAATTTTAGTTTTGTTCAGTGCTTTAGTTCTATGTCAGCAAGTAGCCCATATCTGCTTCCCTACAGGAGTGTTTTGAGGCAGCAGGCTTGGTAGGAGGGGAGAGATAAGCTGGTCTTGCTTTTCCAATTAATGAAGGCTGGCTTCCGGAAATCTTTATTATTCCCAGGTCTGTGTGCCTGCTGCTCTGACTGCAATCCCTGAGACTTCCCCCATGGGAACAGCACAAGCTTGGCTCTATCTACACCTGAATAGGGTGGGCAGTGACTAAGCCAGGGCAGCTCTGCTTGCTGGCAAGACACTCTAGCAGTGGTCAGAGGAGCTGGGTTTGATATCTCAAAAATCTAATTATGCTTCTCACTGTGGAGGGCTGCAAAGGTGTTGTGTAACTTCTGCTTGGATTAGGCCAGTGCTGATTTCAGTGTTTGCTTCCTTGTGCAGAAATTGAGGCTCAGGTGGCGTTAAGGGCAGCTCATAGGTGCTTTGGATATTTGCATGAGAGTCCCTAGACTGGGGGGAGGGAGGACCACATTGTTTGGTGTGTGGTACAGAAGATATTGGACAACTTATTTCAAGCTAGAAAACCACTTCCTTACCAGCATGTGCCAACACATGACTGGGTGTGTGGGCATTGCCACTGCACTGACAGAGTGTGGCCTGCTGGCAAGGAACTGGGGAGCTGGGGTGCAGTGTGCACTGTGTGCACTGTGTGCTGGCAAGTTCGTTTCTGCCAAACCATATTTCAAATACAGCTGTGTCTGGCTGCTCATAAAATACGTGCTGACCTGTGAAGCAAAATTTTGAGGTTTTTTTTTTTCCCCCAAAGCAATGTTATTTTTTCTTAGTTGGTTTTTTGGTTTCTGTTTTTTAGTTGGCTGGTTTGGTTTTTTGTGGGAGGGGTGGTTATTTGAAAAGCTTTCTATTTTTGTGGCTGTAGCTAAATGAATAATGATTTACTCTGGAAAGGAGATCTTGCTTCTGCCCTTTCTCAGTGTTTCAAAGACCTTAAAACAGACTATCCAAAACCTGTAAGGGCCTGATTGTCTCCTGCCCCAGCAGAATTGTTTTGCTTTCACCAAGAGCAGTTGTCCCCTTTGCTGCACCTCATTTCCCTGACTTCCCTCTCTGCACTGGCCTCTCTTCCATCAGGTGACATTGACCTGTCACTTGCTGTGCTCCGAGTTCCTGGCAGGGAGAGGAGTCAGTGCCAGACAAACACACAAATGTCCTTGCTGTGGAAATTGCTGTGCATATATCTAATGTATCTCTCTCAACTCAAGGTTTACTGGAGAGATAAGCTGCTTTGTGGTTTGTATGTGCTGTGGCCCCTCTCCTTGTGTCTTTCACAGCAAACCTTGTTTTCTTTCCATGGAAATGACTGAGACAGAACTGGGCTGGCTGCTGCACCTCTGTAGTGCCTGAAAAGCAAAGGCAGAACTGGCCACAGTTACTCAGCTGCAGAGGCTGCACAGAGTGGTTTTAAGTTTGGGGGTGAGATGGAGCTCAACAATTCGGCTTTGAAGTCTGAAGCATTTGAGGCAGCTTGTAGGAAAGAACAAACAACCTGGAAAAGTTGACTTGAGAGGTTTTTTTGTTTATTTTTAATCCTTTATGCATTGCTCATGAATTTGTCTCCAACTGGAGCTGTCTGAGGGGTGTGTTTGAACGCTTGAACACTTGCCTTTGAACTGAAGAATACATTTCTCTCCCAGCTTATGGAAAATACTTGCATTCCTTAATGTCTTAGATGCTTTTTTCAGAAAGTTTAAGCACTCCTTTCCAACCCTTCCAACCTGAAAGCTTTGTGTGGAAAATTCTCATTTTGAGGCAAAAAGCCAAAACTTTCTGGTTATCTTCAGAACTATGAATCCACCAAGTGTGTGTGTGTGTTGAGGCAGACATTTTCTATCTTATGCTGTAGTTTTTCCCCTGTACAGATTGATTAGAGAGTCCAGTATCAATATTTTTTTGGCTTATATTGGTTACCAACATGTTTCTGAATTAAAAAAAAAACAACTTGATTAAAGCACACATCCCACCAAATGGTAAGCTGTTAATTTGGTGGAAGGAACCATTCAGGCTCTTGAGGTGAAAGCTGTTCCCTAGCTCCACAGGAACTGAGACTGTCTTTGCTGTTGTATTTTTGGCCCTTGGGTTCATATTAATTTTTGCTGTAGAGGAGGGTAGACTAAACCAGTGACTGTGTTTCTGGCAATAAATTAAGAGTTTTCTTCTGCAACACTTCAAAGCTTAGTAGCATGGATTATCAGATGGCATGAAATGAATTACAGTTATCTGCACCTTTATGGTACTTTTCAGCAGAGAATTTAGCAAATGAGCAGCTAAGTGTTGCTGCTTCTCACCACTATCATGTGAAGTAAGTGAATATTCACATTTTAGAGATGGGAGCCTGCTGTATTGGGTAATACAATGATGTGGCTGGATGCCATCGAGAGTAGAATTCATGTGTTTTGCTTTCACTCTATTGCTGTAGGAGCTGTGTGCCCCTCTCCTCAAGGCAGCAGTCATTGGCACTCCTGCCTCTCTGTTCTTCCAGCCCTCAACTTGCAACTCCTTGTATGATTAAACATCACAATGGACATTTCTCCTGAAATTGGATTTAGTTCCGGCTCCTAAAAGGGAAGTCTGTAAGTAGAACAAAAAAAAAAAAAGTGAGCATTTCTCAGAAACTGGAATGTGGAGGTGATGTTGCTGTGCTTCAACCAATTCCCATGCCCTGATGGGCTGGACTGCAGCACGATCCAAGCACAATCCCTTTGTCCATCCTTCCTTCCTTCCTTCTTCTCCTCGCTCCTCCCTCCCTCCACCCCAAGGGAGGCTGTCCTACCCTTTTTTTTTTTTTTTCTTTCCTTCCCCAATCAATCTAATTATGAGTGCAATTATTAAAGACATCTTTTCAAGCAGGTCTATGTAAACTACTTCAGAGGAAATCCTGACTTGCTCCTGAAAAACCAATGGGCTGTTGGCAGTCAAGTAAATCTCTGAATAGAAGCTGTCTGTCCTACCCTTTTTTTTTTTTTTTCTTTCCTTCCCCCCATCCTCCCCAGCTGTATAAGTCCCTAATCAAGCTGTCCTTGCATCAAAGGCCAGCTCAGGGGACACAGAGAGGGGCCCAGAGCAGCAGGATGGCTCACGGCATCTTGGGGCTCATGCGGCCCTTGCGGAGCCGATTGAACGCCACCAAAATTCGCCTCCTTCTTCTCTGTGGTGTGACTGAGCAGCACCACAGCCCGGCAAAGTGGTCAGAAAGAGGCTTCAGCTCCACACAGGGGCTCCAGGATGGCCCTGGGGAATCAAGGTGAGTCAAATTCTACCTTGCTCCATGTGAAGGGATGGACATGCACCTCTGCCTTGGCTTGTGACAGGATGGGGAGAGGCCAGCAAAGCCATGGGATGTGGGGGACAAGACCATCACCTCAGGTGAGCAGATGCTGATGGGGGGAAGGTGGTGCCAGGACCCAGCCCCAGAGGTGCTGTGGGAACCTGTCAGGGGTGTCAGTCCTGCCTCCAGAGCTCTGGGGGTCACAGCTAGTGGCTGGGAACCAGCTCGTGAAGGTGACAGAGGCACAAGAATCCTTTGGCCCATTTCCACAGCAGGAACTACTGCAGGCTCCCTGCCAGCCTTTCCTCTCTCTGCTTTAGGGATAGTTCAGGAAGAGATGGAAAATAAATGTAATTTGTGGATCTCCTAGACTAGCATCATCTGTGTCAGATTGTAATCTGCTGGGCCTTGAGAGAGAGATCCAACCAACATCACAGAAAACACAATAAACCATTTTGCTATCTGACCTTAGAGAAAAGCCATAGTGATAACACTCGGTGGGATTTATGAAGATTCATTATCAATGGGATTTCTTTGTAATTGGTTTGTTGCTTATGAAATTATCTCTGGCAGTACTTGTAGGCATCTTGCTGGTTTGTATGGCCTTGGAAAGTATTGTTTAGGAAAAACATCGACAGGAGGAAGAACTACTTTCTTGAAAGCTCCTTCACCACTTTCCTTTGCCACGAAAGGTTTGAGATATTTTTAAAAAGAGAATAATCAGTTGGTGTATACTGAATTTCCAGTGTTGAGTTTATCACGTCCTGGTAAGATCTTTGCAAACCTCTGACCATATATCCTGTGACAGTAATGCCATTGTAAAATATTTAAGACTAAATGAAGGAAAATTTAGTCTAATCAATTTTGACAGTGTTTTTTGGGTTCCCCCCCGCTTAATCCTGGTTCAAAATTACTTAACAAAATGTGAAAGGAATTGTTTCACTGTTTCAAAAACACCAATAAACAAATTCAAAAGTAAATAAAATTAACAGCTGCAGACTTTGTTTTCAGCTTTGGGTACTCAAAGCAGGTGTCTTTCAGGGGAGACTTGAGCCTGGGACTGGTTTGAGGGATATAAAGACAATGAGACCAGTATGCAAGTCAGTCTGTTACTGAACTGAACAGTGAAAACAGGGAGTCATCAGGCTGGGTTTATCCCTCAACAGAGGCACCAATCCTATGTACTCAGCCAAATACCTGAAATGTTCCCTTCAGTCAGCACAGAGGGAAACTGCTTGAAGGTGCTCTCTGCATCATGGTCAGGAGTGCTTGGTATTATCCCTGCTCTTGAGAAGAGTGAACTCTGCAGCCAGACTTATCCAGTCATTCAGGATGTCTCACAACAGCATCAATCCTTTCTTGTACCTGACTGGATACCCTGTGTGCTGTCCCTGGCTGCAGCTTGCCTGCCTTGGGGCCCACATAACTGACAGCAACAGCCAAAGCAAGGATGGAACTCAGAGGAACTGCAGAGAACTAGATTTGTGGGAGGTTGGTGCAGAGATTCTCCTGCAACTAATGTTGGCTAAAGCTCTAGGTGCCTCAAGGATGACAGGTATTAATATTTCTGTCAATAAATGTGCAGACAACTTCGGGGATTTTTGGACCCAGCAGTCTCTGCAGGCAGTCATCTCTCATTATCCACCTGAAAAATCCATTCGGTTGAAACATTAAGTGTAATTCTATCAGTTTACCATTTCTATTGTATAACAAACCATAAAGATAAACCAAACATTGCCTCAAAACATGCCTGTTTACCATACAAATGGAATGAATTACTCTGATCCATCAAAAATGAGGATTGTTTTATTTTGTTTTGACATTTGAGAACTAGTCTTTAAATTGTGTATTTAGAGATATCTGTAGGTGTCTTTATTGAAGGAAACTGGTCATCAGGTCAGCCTGGTGAAAGAGAAGCTTCTGCCACTGGAGAATGCCCTGGGCTTTGGGATGATGGCTACTTGGGCAGTGCCACACTGAAAGCTACTGGGCAAAAGGCCCAGGTACCTCCAGGGTGCTGCCTTCTTTCTGCACAGGAGGTGGGACCTTTGGGTAAATGAGACCTCCTATATCTAAGGGAGTATTTGGTATGTACACTAAGAAAAAAATAGTGTTTGCTCCTGTGCTTCGTCTGGCAAATATAAGAGTCTCAGAATACACTGTCTTGGTGAGAAATCCTGAACACTGCTCTCAGGGTAGCAGCCTTCTCCAGATTGGTGTGAGTCTGGTCAGGAGGAGATGAACTGGATACTGTTTCCCTCTCATTTGTAGATGCTGTTTCTGCAGGTTATCATTAAGAAAAGCTGATGGCCATGCTCCTAACTCTTGGCCAGATTAAATCTTGCAGGCTGTCAAAATAACTAGCAATTTTTCCTGAGCGTGGATCACATCAGCTCAGAGGAAGTTACTCAGCCTGGTAGCTCTGTAAGCTGAGCTGGGCATGTCTAGCCATAAGAATGATGATGTGATGCTCCCTGTGATGGAGTTAAGGAAAGGAGTGGGTGCTTCATGGAAGAGAAAGCAGCAGAAAAGGAACAATCATCAAGTAATCGCCTTGGGAAGGGAAGGGGAAGCAAAACATAAATGACAGCAGCCCTTCTTGCTGAGTTAGTATCTGATCCCAAGTACTTTGCTTGTTATTGCATCACTCTACCCAGAATTAACATTCCAGGCCTGGGACTTGCAAATACTCTGCCTGCCTACACATACTTCTTCTGCCAGCCAGCCCAAGCAGGGGCAGCACACAGAGAGCACCTGCACTTGTTTGTACACAGATAGACATTTGTTCTGTGGGCTGTTTGATAAAGTGGGAAATATTTTGGGGCAACTCAGATTTGCCTGCCACTGAGAACTGATAATTAGAATTTTTTCTTTGGGCCTGGCATAATCCTTCAAGAAAGTGTTTGCATGCACATTTCTCTCTAAGTGCCATGTCTCTAGCACTCAGCCAGAAGACCTCAAGTATGGATGTGCAGAAAAGGGTGGACTCCTGATTTTTGCAAATTTGTCTTACAGCTCTGAGGATCAGGTGACAGTGCATTTTATAAATCGGGATGGAGAGCGACTTACGACCACAGCCAAAGAGGGGCAGAGTTTGCTGGAAGTGGTAGTCAATCACAACTTGGCCATTGATGGATTTGGTAGGTGTTGCAGCAGGATATGCACATGTACTGTTAGGGCCAGAGGGTATTTAGGAATAGTGCAACAGTACATATACCCCTGTGTTCTGCCAAGACCATAACCAAGCCTGTGTTCCCCACCAGTTGCTTACTGGGTGGCTCACCATGCTGAGATGGAAATGTAACCTCACATGGTCACCACTGGCATTCCAGCAGCCTCTGTCAGTGCTTTTGCTTGCATAGAGCTGATGTAAAAATTTGAAAGCTGAAGGTGATTCTCCCAGAGAAGAGGCAGGCTGGAAATTGCATTCATCTGTTCTGTTTCCTAGCATCTCTTTGGACATGTTCCAGATCTGTTAAAGGGTCTTTTCTCACAATGTTCCTAAAGATGGGCTCTCTCACCCCCTTATTTTTTCTGATTTGCTGCCATCCCCTTGTTTCTCCACCAGGTGCCTGTGAAGGGACGTTAGCCTGCTCTACGTGTCACCTCATCTTTGACAAGGACACCTTCCAAAAGCTTGATGCCATCTCAGATGAAGAGTTAGACATGCTGGACTTGGCATATGGACTCACGGACACGTAAGCCTTCCTGTTGGTCACAGCAGATCCTCAAGCCTCTGAGGCAGATTTGCACCATGTGGCTCCTTTTTCACAAGGGATGGGACTTGTTCTGTATTATAGTTGTGCCTTGAAAGCAGGAGCTTTAGTGAAAACCCATCCTGGACCAGATATCCCAGTGTGGGTGGGGAATTTCTCCCTTTACTTTGGGAACAGAGGAGCCTCACTTCACGTTTTCTTCTCAGATCTCGCCTTGGCTGCCAGGTGTGCGTGAAGAAGTCGATGGATGGTCTGACTGTGAGGGTCCCCATGGACGTGTCGGACATGAGGAGGCAGCTGGAGGTTGGAAAGCAAAGCAAACAGTAACTGGAAACGACTGCTGCACAGCTTAAAGCCTCATTTAGGCGTGGCAGGGTACTTAGCTTTTGGTTGACACTATTGCTTTTTGTGGCTGGCTTGCAGCAGGCCATAAAGGTCTGATTCAGTATAAAAGGCGTGTTTGGCAAATCTCTTATTTAAACAAGGCATCATGCTTAATAGGGTCTTTACTGTGTATTTTAAGTGCTTAAATGCTCTGCTGAATGCAACTGGATTAAAGTGTATGGCTTTATATTTCCCTGGGTGGGTGTCAGTAAATATCTTTGCTGTATGTGACTCGCTTTCTCCTTTGAAATATAAGAATTCTGCTATTCTGAGTAACTGCTGAGAATTTTGCAAGGCTTGGCTCTTTAAGAGTGGAGCAGACTTTTCCAATTTGGGAAGCTTAAGAATAGATTGCTGTTTGCAAGTCAGTGTACTGGTGGGCTTGGTGATGTAGGTGACTTGAGTTTGGTCAGCAAGAGCATACTGAGGACATTCGTGTGCTTGACAGTTCCTGGAAGCAGGAACCACTTCTGAGAACTTGAGATGTTTCAGGTCCCTGAATTGTTCTGTGCTGGGAGCAGCCACTTTCTCCAAAAGTTAAATTTTCTCATTGCTGTACTATCCCACACGTCAAAATTCTAATAATGAGCCTTTTAGACCTGCAAGATGCACTGCTCAGGTACCATGAGCCTGGCCGGAATAGAAGGAGTTGGATGGAAACTTGATTGACTGCATAAACACAGCACTGCCAGCTGATCAAAGGAGGGGATTGTCCTGCTGTACTCAGCACTAGTGGGGCCTCACATGGAATACTGCAGATAGTTTTGGGCACTGAATATAAAAAAAATACATTATTCTGTTAGAGAGGGTCCGTGAGGATGATGGAAGATCTGGAGGGGAAGCCTTATGAGGAATGGCTGAGGTTACTTGTATTGTTCAGCCTGGAGAAGAGGAGACCGAGGTCAGACCTCATTGTGCTCTTCAACATCTTCACAAGGGGAAGTGGAAGGGCAGTGATCTCTTCACTCTCTGACCAGTGACAGGACTCAAGAAAATGGCATGAAGCTGAGTCAGGGGAGGTCTAGGTTAGATGTCAGGGAAAAATTTTCCACCCAGAGGTGGCTGGGCACTGGAACAGGCTCCCAGGGCAATGCTAACAGCACCCAACCTGTCTGAGTTAAGAATCGATAGGACAATACTCCTGGGCACATTATGGGATTCTTGGCATGTTCTGCACAGGGTCTGGAGTTGAACTCGATGATTCTGAAGAGTCCCTTCCAACTGAGGGTGTTCTGTGCTTCTACGATTCCGTGATTGATGAACTTTCAGCGCGACCCTGGGGCCTAGGCCGCGGGGGCTGCTGTGGCGGCACTTCGGCGCCAGGGGGCGCTCGCGGGGCGGGGAGGAAGAGGAGGAGGAGGAGGGAGGCCGCAGAGGGGGCTGTGAGGAGGAGGAAGGCCACAGTGGGGATTGTGAGGAGGAGGAAGGCTGCAGTGGGGGCTGTGAGGAGGAGGAAGGAGGAAGGC